AAACCGTGGCCAAACAGACTCCCAGGAATGTGATCGATGCAGGGGTACGTCGGCCCTGACAGAGCGCGAAAAAGGACCTCACCGCAAGTGCGACACCCTCAATGCCCTGACCTGGTGCCACTCCGGCTTGGAAGGGCATCTGACTATTGATCAGAAGGGGTTTTAGGGTCTCCCGAAGGCAGCGGTGGTAAAGCTTACCGGGTACAGAGGAGACCAGTATGGATCTGTAGGCATCGCATCCCAGAGCCTGTCCTGCTCGCTTGGCCAAACATACTAGATCCCCCCCCCGGAAAACTACCGGTTCGTGTACTCTGAGGCTTGCCTTCAAAAGCACAGGCATGAGTTGCCGCGCAGTGATGGGAACGTCGAGCTTGAGGAGCTCGGCCGTGATTCCGTCTGGGCCGGCAGCCCGGGCCGATTTGGAGGAGAGAATATGTCTCTCCAACGCAGTGAGTGTGGGCAGGAACTGAATGTCGAGACGACGGGGACACAACTGGCTCTGATGGAAGTCAGTGGCATAGGCCTCGCACTTGATGGCTGTACCTGCTTCTTGGCTGGCAAAGTGTGCACGCCAGGCCTCCGCTCTTTCAGCAGTAGTGGCGGCATTGTGACCGTCAGCAAGCTGGAGCATCGGAAGAGGAGTGATGTGTTGGCGCCGCGACGGCCTGGCAGCTGGAAAGGCCTTGCGTAAAACCCTGAACAAAGACTTAGCATCCCCAACACTGCCTTGTGCAGCTTCAGCGGCCAGCTTATCAAGGTAAGCAGTCCTGTCAAAGGCTACAGCACGTCGGAGCACTTTTGCAAGTCGCTTGTAGTTGGCAAGGGTGGCGGCTTCCAGCTCGTCGAGCTCAAGGAGCCAACGCTCTGCAACACCAAGCTGGGCAGCATTAAAGCTATCTCCTTGACTGTGGACAAGGAGGGCAGCAAACGTAATGAGGATCCATCTATGTTGCCGTTCTGCGGCTTGGTGGCGCAGTTGTTGCTGGACTGCTTTCCGTTCCTGAACAATGGCAAGGGTGGCTTGTGTGAGATAAGGCTGCCTGGGCACGGTATGAGGCTCAGGCTCAAGCTCTCGGCTGACGGTCTGCCAAGCTGTGGCAAGGTGTTCGTAGTGCTGATCAACAGTGCAACACCACGGCACAACCGGCACCAGGCGCGTGAGGCAGTCGCTGGCTTGTGTGCCTCTGCTGCTACTGGGAGGCCTTGCGACTTGCTTGTGCATCGCTTGATACGAAGAGCTAGATAGGTTGTGCACGAACTCACATCGGAGCAAGACCGGTATATGGTCTTCCCGTAACTGCATAAGCTCAACTTCTGGCAAGGTGCAAGAAAGGAGCTTGGCGAAATGCCAGTGTTGGGGCACAATCACATAGTCTATGCGCGAACGAGTGCCTTTGGGAGAAGTCCAGGTATAATGAGGTCCGTCATGGTACTGAGACCAGGTGGAGGGGGCAATGGCCTCGATTTTTGAGAGGAAATCGTGAAATAGTTCCCCTGCATCGCCCTCGGGCTCAGCGCCATGGTCACTAACATGGTCAGATGGAAGGCTACCAAGGCGTGAGTTGGCATCACACAAGATTATGTAATCAGCCCCACTAGGGCGTCGGAAAACTGTCT